ATCACTATACTAGTTCACTACTTCCAATAAGATTTTGAATAAAAAAACCATGATTAATTTGCTGACTACTGTGCCATATAATTAATTCATTTTTCTGCGCAATTAAGTCGAGCCCGGACACCGTGTCCAGACTCTACCATCAGAAAAATAGTTGTAATAATTTTTCCGAATCAAAAGCTATCCGGCTAAAGAAAAAATCCGAAATCTGATTGGCCGATCATATCGTGATTTATAGAAAAACGCCAGCTCCTGGAGGGAGCTAGGGTGATACATGTGATACGATATACAACATCATGCCACAAGCTGATTTAGCCAAGGCGCTGTGCATAGTTTAGCTGAATCAAAAATGAATCTGATATTTATTAAAGTATAATATTGCTAAATCAGCTAAAATAGATAAAACACTATAAAAACGTTATAATTCACTAAATCCGCTATAAATTGATATAAACCGTTAAATATGTCAGAAACTCACATTAATAGAGCAAGGCCTAATAAATGCATTGACATTATTTTAGACAAGGTTTATAATAAATCTGTGCCGAAACCCATCAATCTTCATCCTGGATATGATATTGAATATATTATAAACTGTTATGGTTTTCCTTATCCTGGTCAATTTGAAAAGATGGTTTAGGTCAAAAAAATATATGATAATTTATCTATTATTAGTTCGTATGAAACTTTACAGCAATGGGCTATTCGTATAAAAGACGCTTTGCAAGCATTAAAAACTGAAGGCCATGAAAACTATTATCATGTATTCTGCCTTTTTGGATTATCTGGGCAAGGAGTAACCAAGACATACTATGATAACTACGAAGGGAGAGAAGTTGCCATTGGTTATCACAGACCTAATATTCACAATTGCAAGATAGCTATTTGCTTTGATTGTTGGAAATTAGTAGAAATCACTAATGTAAAACCAAAAAAGACATATTTCAGTGGATGGCGAAGATATGGGTATGAGATTAAGCCTGAAGACTTGATGAAATATCATTGGGATAACTCATGTTTTAAGACTAATAAACATATAGAAGCAGTCCTAAAGGGACCAGCTCATCTTCTCATAAGCTCGAAGTCAGAAATATTGCGTGAAAAATCTTCTGACCGGAAGGGTGTATTATATCCTGAAAAAAATACATCTGATTCCCTCCTGCAGTTTGATAGAACAAGTGGAAGCAAAATATTTATTTCATCTATATATGCAAAACAAAATAACAAACCATCTTAATCAGCCAAAAGGTATTACATTAAGATTGAAAGATGTGCCTAAATAATATTTTAACAAGTTTTCACATAATAACTATACTGCTTACATTTGCTGCATTTCTGACCCTTTGAGTCTTCTACGTTATTTGAAACACTGTGGTCTTTTATCATATTAACATTGCTACTATTTTTTAGAACCTGCTTTTTCTTATGTAAATTCTTTTCAACATTCGCTTGTAGTCTTTTTGAAGGTTATCCTTTATACTTGATAACAACAGGATTATACATGAAGTCGAAATAAAAACCCAAAAGTCGAAATGTTTCGATTTTGGAGGTCAAAGTCGAAATGAAAGTCGAAATGGTCGAAATTACGTCATATCACATGATTTTTTATATATAGAAAA